GAGCCTGCCTGGAGCCTCTGCTCCAGTTGCTGAGCACAAAAAGCTAGGAAGTGCAGATGGAGATCCATGTGGACATGCAGGAGGCTTAGGCCACATCAGACAGAGTGGAGAGAAACTCCAATGAAGATGACACTGATCAGGATTACTAGGAGAGCATGGGCACAGGTCACCCATTGCAGTGGAACTGTCCTCTGTGCATCTTTGGGAAGGCATGATGCACCACTTAGCAGTAATACAACTATGCCCAATGTGAGGCAAGGCTTCAGGAACTCGCAAACCCAAGCAGACAGTGCTCATGAGGGTTTCAGGTGACCAAGTCAGTGTAGGCGGACAGTGGAGTCAGATCGGAGACAATTCCGGAGCAGGAACAGGGTGTTGCATCCTCTAAGCTGTATGACAGGAAAGAGTGGTGCGGAACTCCACCAAGCAGATGTCCGTCAGTGCTTGATCCCTCAAGCCTTACCGCAACAAAACCAGGAATGCTTGTGAATTTTGAAAGAGTGTCCAGCTGTGCAAACAGTGAGGTACCTTCCAGTGCTTCAGCCAAATCAGTCTCTCTAAGGCTGGCCATACATTATACAATTTTCTTGAGATTTTTGGTTTAGATTTACCAAAAACCATATAAAAAAGGAGGTCAAACCTAACAACACTTTCAATTATATCCAATTAGGCACTACATAGTTGAAGGTAAATCTAAAGGAAAATGGGCAGAAAATTGTATAGTGTATTGCCAGGCTTTTTAAGTGGGCCTTCAGAGACAGGGTCACATCTAGAGTGTACTATGGCTCCTTTTGTGGGGCAAATCTGGGGCTGTACTATGTACTATGCGCCTGGACAGAGCTCCACAGCTAACTCAGCATACAAAGGTCAGTAAAGCACCATGACACAGAGCCCATTGCCAAATGCCACATTCCAGGCTGGCCCCACACATTCAGTTCAGTGGCTTCCAAAGCTGGTGCTGAGGATTCACCAATCCAAAAAACTGCTATGCAGGGACCAGCTGAAGCAGTGGTGTAGCAGGGAATCTTGACTGAAGACACAGAAGAAAAGATTCCATGAAGCAAGGAAGGCTAGCAAACAAATAGGCTGCAGAAAAGGTGTCCAACCTCCTGGAGCACTAGCAATAAAACTGAGGAATGATTGATAGAATAGGGATCAAACTGGGGGGGGCCTGAATTACAACTTTTTTTGTTTTCCAGTGTCCCAACCTCCTGAAGGTGGCAGTATAATCGGACTATTTCTTAATTCCTGGGTCCCTCAATGGATGATAAAGGAACCTTATTTTTTCTAATCATGGTCTCTCCTCGTGCTCTTCTCTCTCTGTCAGCTTTTCTGTCCTTCCTCTTATTTTTGTTGCGGTTTTCAGTATTATGCTGAATGAGCAGAAAGGGACAGGGGCTGGGTGGGGATAGGCTAAGTTAGGCAGGGAGAGGTGGAAATGAGTAGACAGAGCCTCTGTCCTAGCAGACGGCACTTATCCATCTCTTTATACATACATTTCACTTCTATAGTTGGATCCCCCTCCATACAGTCTGTCTCTATTGTCAGATCCCTACTCCATACATATCACCAATATGGTTGAATCCCCCCTTCATACTTTGTCTCTATAGTTGGATCCCTCCTTCATACATATCACCTCTGGTTGGATCCCATCTCTCTACATTGTGTCCATTTGATCCACCTCCATACATTCTGTCTCTATTGTTGGAGTCCCCTCATAATTTCTGCCTTTATAGTTGGACTCCCCCCACCAGTGCATACCACCTCTATATTTGGATCCCTCCTCCACATATTCTGTCTGTAAAGTTGGATCCCCTGCCCATAGATTCTGTCTCTATAGCTGGACCCCCCTCCATACATATTACCTCTAAAGTTGGATCCCCCTCCATACATCCTATCTCTGTTGTTGGATTCTCTTCCATTCTTACATGCTGCCTTCATACTTGGACGCCACTAATGCATATCAGCTTTATATTTGGATCCTTCCTCCATGTATTCTGCCTGTAGCGCTGGATCCCCCTCCATATGTTCTCTGTCCTAGCAGACGGCACTTATCCATCTCTTTATACATACATTTCACTTCTATAGTTGGATCCTCCTCCATACAGTCTGTCTCTATTGTCAGATCCCTACTCCATACATATCACCAATATGGGTGAATCCCCCCATCATACTTTCTGTCTCTATAGTTGGATCCCCCCTCCATACATTCTACCTCTGTAATTGGAAGTGCAGAACATTACCATTAGTACATTTGTCCCTTCTGGCTGTCACATTCTGTCAGTTCATAGAGGCCCCAACTAGAAATGATGCTCTGCTGGACCTGGTAATCTCAAACCTTGCAGTGTTTATTACAAATTTCCATATAAAAAAAATCTGGGTAGCAGTGACCATAACATGATTTCATTTATTGTTAGCTGTAAACAGCAAGCACATACGGGAAAAATAAAAACGCTAAATTTTAAGAGAGCTAATTTTCCAAGGCAGAGAGATGCTCTCCAAGACTTAGACTGGGAGGGAATATTGGCATCAATGAACACAACACAGAAATGGGAGTTCTTCAAAAAGACTGTATGTGAACACACCGCAAAATATATTCCCATGGGCAACAAGTTTACAAGGCTAAAAATCGAAAGAGCTTTTATTAAATATAAAAATGAAGGAACACTAGCATCGTTTAAAAGCATTACAAAGAATATAACAGAATATGCAAAAAGGAAATAAAGGCCGCAAAAATTGAAAACGAAAGACAGATTGCAAAAGAAAGCAGAACCAACCATAAAAAATTCTTCAAATATATTAATAGTAAAAAGGTCCGGTCCGAGCATGTAGGCCCTTTACAGAATCATCTAGAGGGGGTGACTGGGGACAAAGAGAAGGCAAGTTTATTAAATCCTTTCTTCAGTATGAGGAAAGATTAGAGGAACTGAATTTATTCTCTCTTGAGAAGAGGAGATTAAGGGGGATATGATCTCCATGTATAATACATAAGGGGGGATATGATTTCCATGTATAATACATAAGGGGGGATATGATCTCCATGTATAATACATAAGTTGGGGGGGATATGATCTCCATGTATAATACATAAGGGGGGGGGGGATATGATCACCATCTACGATACATAAGGGGGATATGATCACCATGTACAATACATAAGTGGGGGGGGGGGGGGAATATGATCTCCATGTATAATACATAAGGGGGGATATGATCTCCATGTATAATACATAAGTGGGGGGGGGGGGGAATATGATCTCCATGTATAATACATAAGGGGGGAGGGATATGATCTCCATGTATAATACATAAGGGGGGATATGATCTCCATGTATAATACATAAGGGGGGATATGATCTCCATGTATAATACATAAGGGGGGATATGATCTCCATGTATAATACATAAGGGGGGGGGGAGATATGATCACCATGTACGATACATAAGGGGGATATGATCACCATGTACGATACATAAGTGGGGGATATGATCTCCATGTATAATACATAAGGGGGGATATGATCTCCATGTATAATACATAAGGGGGGATATGATCTCCATGTATAATACATAAGGGGGGATATGATCTCCATGTATAATACATAAGGGGGGGATATGATCTCCATGTATAATACATAAGGGGGGATATGATCTACATGTATAATACATAAGGGGGATATGATCTCCATGTATGATACATAAGGGGGGGGGGGGGGAGATATGATCACCATGTACGATACATAAGGGGGATATGATCACCATGTACAATACATAAGTGGGGGATATGATCTCCATGTATAATACATAAGTGGGGGATATGATCTCCATGTATAATACATAAGGGGGGATATGATCTCCATGTATAATACATAAGGGGGGGATATGATCTCCATGTATAATACATAAGGGGGATATGATCTCCATGTATAATACATAAGGGGGGGATATGATCTCCATGTATAATACATAAGGGGGATATGATCTCCATGTATAATACATAAGGGGGATATGATCTCCATGTATAATACATAAGGGGGATATGATCTCCATGTATAATACATAAGGGGGATATGATCTCCATGTATAATACATAAGGGGGGGATGATCTCCATGTATAATACATAAGGGGGGGGATATGATCTCCATGTATAATACATAAGGGGGGGGATATGATCTCCATGTATAATACATAAGGGGGGATATGATCTCCATGTATAATACATAAGGGGGATATGATCTCCATGTAGAATACATAAGGGGGGGATATGATCTCCATGTAGAATACATAAGGGGGGGATATGATCTCCATGTAGAATACATAAGGGGGGGATATGATCTCCATGTATAATACATAAGGGGGATATGATCACCACGTATAATACATAAGGGGGGATATGATCACCGTGTATAATACATAAGGGGGGATATGATCACCGTGTAGAATACATAAGGGGGGGATATGATCTCCATGTATAATACATAAGGGGGATATGATCTCCATGTATAAATACATCAGTGGTTCATATAGTGAACTCTGTGTAGAGTTTTTCACCCTGAGGTCATCACAGAGGACAAGGGGGCGCTCTTTATGTCTGGAGGAAAAGAGATTTAATCTCCAAACATGGAAAGGTTTCTTCACAGTAAGAGTTGTGAAAATGTGGAATAGACTCCCTCAAGAGTTGGTTCTGGCCAGCTCAGTAGATTGCTGTAGGAAAGTCCTGGATTCTTTCTTGGATACACAGAATATAACTGGATACTAACATTTGTAGGGAAAGTTGATCCCAGGGAATATCCGATTGCCTCTCACTCAGGGGATCAGGAAGGATTTTTTTCCCCTACAGGAGCAAATTGGATCGTGCTTTGCTGAGTTTTTTTGCCTTCCTCTGGATCAACTGTGGGTGTAGGATTATAACTTTTTTTTTTTTTTTTTTAATGGTTGAACCGGATGGACTTTTGTCTGTAACTATGCAACTATGACCCCTAGTGCCCTCAGTACTCACCGTATGACACAACCAGCAGGATGAAGTTTTTGTTCCTCAGCAACCGCAATATGGACTGTTTGTAGGAGTACTGACTGGGGGGAACAGAGAGTAGGGCAGCCTGTGCCAGGGTGGGTGGTAGAGGGGGAGCCTCCTGGAAGACTGAACACAGCCCACAGTTAAAGTCTCAGCATTAAAATCTTGCTACACCCCCAGACACACAACTGTCACTACGCCCCCCCCCCCCCGCTATTCCAGACACACAACTGTCACTACGCCCCCGCTATTCCAGACACACAACTGTCACTACGCCCCCGCTATTCCAGACACACAACTGTCACTACGCCCCCGCTATTCCAGACACACAACTGTCACTACGCCCCCGCTATTCCAGACACACAACTGTCACTACGCCCCCGCTATTCCAGACACACAACTGTCACTACGTCCCCGCTATTCCAGACACACAACTGTCACTACGTCCCCGCTATTTCAGACACACAACTGTCACTACACCTCCGCTATTTCAGACACACAGCTGTTCTACCCTTCAGTTAAGTATGATTAGCCCTCGAATTGATGCGCACCGAATATTACCAGGACGAAGAGGAGGCTGGCGACAGCTGCAGTTCCATAAAACATGATGCTGATGTGATATGACAGCTGGCTCATGTCTTCAGTGTTGGGGACCAGGACTGGCGGCAGGAGGAAGCCCACTGCAATACCTAACTGGAGCAAAGAGCAAGATGTCATCACCATGAACTGCCACCATCATAACTATCCTCTATGACACCTAACTGGAAGAAAAGTCAAGATGTCACCAGAATGAACTACATGCATTGAGACTATCCCACTGTGACTCCTAACTGGAGCAAAGAGCCAGAGGTCCCTGTTATGAATTGCCCTCAAGGAAAGGATTTGTTATTGGAATCAAACAGGGAAGGAGTCTTTGCTGTAAGGGGACATTCACATTTACATCATCCAGTAATACATAGTAATGTGGGTCACCCCTATGAAAGGCACCCCAAGCCATTACCAATACTTGGGTAGTGCAGCCTCACCACAACACACGTACAGCTTACTGCCACATGTTGCATAGAAAAAAATAAAAGGGTCTTGACTTGAATTTTCAAGCAGTTGAGTGATGACAGTCCGTCCACAATGAATGGACTACCTTAATACAACGCACCGTGATATTGTAGGTTAACACACGTAATGTAATGCACCGCAACACCCCTGAGAAATGTGACTGGGCCCTTACAGTTGTTGCAGATGGTCAAAGGGGGTGATGTCATCTGTAGCTGCGATTCATGTAAGACATTACTGATCTAGGACAGTGGTTTCCAAACCGTGCCCTGGGTCTGGATGTGGCCCTCTGCCTGCTTTTATCCAGCCCTTTTTTGCCACCGACACCAACAATGGGACACTATTCCTACCATTGACACCATTCCTCCCACTGACACCAATGGTGGGGCACTATTCCTCCCACTGACGCCAATGGTGGGGCACTATTCCTCCCACTGACGCCAATGGTGGGGCACTATTCCTCCCACTGACGCCAATGGTGGGGCACTATTCCTCCCATTGATGGGGTCCTACTCCTCCCACTGACACCAATGATGGGGCACTATCCCTCCCACTGACACCAATGATGGGGCACTATCCCTCCCACTGACACCAATGGTAGGACACTATTCCTCCCACTGACACCAAAGGTGGAACACTATTCCTCCCATTGATGGGGTCCTACTCCTCCCACTGACACCAATGATGGGGCACTATCCCTCCCACTGATACCAATGATGGGGCACTATTCCTCCCACTGACACCAATGATGGGGCACTATTCCTCCCACTGACACCAATGATGGGGCACTATTCCTCCCACTGACACCAATGATGGGGCACTATTCCTCCCACTGACACCAATGATGGGGCACTATTCCTCCCACTGACACCAATGATGGGACACTATTCCTCCCACTGACACCAATGATGGGACACTATTCCTCCCACTGACACCAATGATGGGGCACTATTCCTCCCACTGACACCAATGATGGGGCACTATTCCTCCCACTGACACCAATGATGGGACACTATTCCTCCCACTGACACCAATGATGGGGCACTATTCCTCCCACTGACACCAATGATGGGGTACTATTCCTCCCACTGACACCAATGATGGGGCACTATTCCTCCCACTGACACCAATGATGGGGCACTATTCCTCCCACTGACACCAATGATGGGGCACTATCCCTCCCACTGACACCACTAATGGGGCACTACTCCTCCCACTGACACCACTAATGGGGCACTACTCCTCCCACTGGTACCTGACATTTTCTACTCCCACTGGCCACAGTTTGCCCTCCCCCCCTAAAGTTTGAAGGACAGCTAACTATTGTTTAGAAAATTTGGAGACCCCTGAACTAGAGGAAGCCCCCCAAAAGCAATGCATGATTAGCTTTCCCTTCAAAAAAAGATCTACAACCAGAATATCTTTTACTTTTGGATGGGAATTAAACTAACTTGTCAGTTCTTAATGGTGTCTGTGTCCTCTCTGGGTCTCTCTCTCTCTCTATATATATATACATACATACACACTGGTGTCACAGAGACAGAAATCAATGAGAAATTCAAAATGTACAGTTGCCACCAGAACAGGAAATGAGGGGAAACCTTCCAATGGGGGACACCTGTTCTGGTGACAACTAGGAGGGAATTTCTTTTGCTTCCTGTTGAGTCACCAATACAGGAAGTGAAATGAAATTTCTCCAATGGAGAAGCACAAAAAAAATGAAAAAAACGAAAACAAAAAAACAAACAGGGGTCTAACCCTTCCCTGCTCCATCCAAAAGGAAAAAAAAAAGTTTTGGCTAGAGATCTACTTTTCACACGTGATTTGCCACTCCTATTCTGGAGAGGCTGAGAATCCGAGTCCTGTGACCGGGATTAATGTGCACGTCTAATCCTGGATGCTGATTAACACTGTGAGTGCCAGGCCCCCAGTACCCCTTAGGCCCCCCCATCACCCCCTGGGCCCCTATCACCCCCCCCCCCCCCCCCCCCCCCCCCCCCCCCCCCCCCCCCCCCCCCCCCCCCCCCCCCCCACCCCCCCCCCCCCCCCCCCCCCCCCCCCCCCCCCCCCCCCGAGTCATACCTGGTTACCGAACACCCCAATTGAGCAGGCGGTGGAGACCTCCGATGAGCTGAACCACACAGAGGCAATGTGAGACGGCATTCCCAGGATAAACACCTGAGCCACTGCGCACACCAGCTGTCCAAACAGCGTCACGCCAAACAGGTTCGGTTGGGCGCTGCCCGTCTTAATCCAAGCGCCCAGACAGTTCAGGCCAGAGCCAATGAGGGCGATGATGCGCAGACCGCGTGTCTCTAGCAGCCAGGCGACAGGGAAGATGAGCGGAATGTACGCCAACATGTAGGACATGGAGAGCCAATCGATGGCCAGGCTGCTGACCCCATAGTACTTAATGAAGATATTACTGATGATGCCGTACTGGATCCACTGGAAGGCATTACACAAGGAATACGAGCTGAAGAGGAGGACCATGAACCAGCGGCGGGTGTAAAGCTTGGTCACCCAACCCCCCGCCGCCGTCATAGGAGACGTCTCGCCATTTCTTAACATTTCCGGTGAACCTGAATTCTTTTTCGGGATATCCGGTAAATTATTGGGGTGCAGTAGCTCACCCCCCGATGACTCCTCCTTTGCCATGGTGACACCAGAATCTTACACCACCTGCAGGAATAAAGAAGTGTCAGCTCTTCTGGGCAGACAGCAGGAACCAATCACAGTTATCACAGCCACTTACCTGGTCTGCTGTCTCATTGGCTGCTGCAGAGATGACCGTCCAATCCTGAGACACGTCAACCGTGTTCCATGGTGACCGTTAACAGCAAATCACCCTCAAACTGACTGTCTCTTTCTGTACTGTTTGTCTCCAGCTCCTCTGCACTGTCTCCCCTAAAAAACTGACTACCCCCCCTTCTCTGTACTGTCCCCCCTTCAAGTGACTTTCTCTTCCCCCACTGACTGCCCCTCCCCCCTCCTCAAACTGACTATACCCCCTCTCGTCTGCACTGTCCCCCCCTCCCCTTCAACTGACTTTCTCTTCCCCCACTTACTGCCCCTCCCCCCTCCTCAAACTGACTATACCCCCTCTCCTCTGCACTGTCCCCCCCCTCCAACTGACTTTCTCTTCCCAACTGTCTCCCCTTCTCCTATGTCTCTTCCTGCTCACTGTCCCCCCTATTCCCTTCTCAGTGCCCCCCCTATTCCCGCTTACTGTCCCCCCTATTCCCTACTCACTGCCCCCCCTATTCCCGCTCATTGTCCCCCCTATTCCCTACTCACTGTCCCCCTATTCCCTACTCACTGCCCCTCCTATTCCCTACTCACTGTCCCTATTCCCTACTCACTGTCCCCCCCTATTCCCGCTCACTGTCCCCCCTATTCCCTACTCACTGCCCCCCCTATTCCCGCTCACTGCCCCCTTCTCACTGACACTCTCTCCTCCACACTGTCTCTCTCCTGTCACTGACACTCTCTTCCCCCACTGATGATCTCTCATACCTCCCCCAGTCTCAGGTTTGCTGGGTCATGTGTCTGCTGCTCTCAGTTCCTCTGTCTCAGAAATTCCACTTTGTGCCACATGTTGCACTTTTCCCTCTTCCTGCGTCTCCGCCCCCTCTCTGTACAGCCAACCGGCTCTCTCTATGCAAATCTGTCACCCTGTACCAATTCCCCGTGTGCCGGACCCTCTCTCTGGAGGTCTCTCTCTGTCTGGCTATCTCTCTCTCTGGGATTCTCTCTCTCCCTCTCTGGATCTCTCTCTCTGGGGGTCTCTCTCTCCCTTTCTGGATCTCTCTCTCGAGGTCTCTCTCTCTCTCTCTCTGGAGGTCTCTCTCTCTCGAGGTCTCTCTGTGGCGATCTCTCCCTGGATGTCTCTCTCTGGATGTCTCTCTCTCTGGAGGTCTCTCTCTCTCTCTGGATGTCTCTCTCTCTCTCTCTGGAGGTCGCTCTCCCTGGATCTCTCTCTCTCTGGAGGTCTCTCTCTCTGGATGTCTCTTTCCCTCTATGTGCCCCCAGATATCTCTGTCTAAATGTCTCTCTTTCTCTCTGGATCTCTCTCTCGAGGTCTCTCTGTGGCGATCTCTCTCTGGAGGTCTCTCTCTGGATGCCTCTCTCTCTGGAGGTCTCTCTCTCTCTGGAGGTCTCTCTCTCTCGAGGTCTCTCTGTGGCTCTCTCTCTGGATCTCTCTCTAGAGGTCTCTCTCTCTCTCTGGAGGTCTCTCTCTCTGGATCTCTCTCTAGAGGACTCTCTCTCTCCCTCTCTCCCTGGATCTCTCTCTCTCTGGAGGTCTCTTTCCCTCTATGTGCCCCCAGATATCTCTGTCTAAATGTCTCTCTTTCTCTCTGGAAATCTCTCTGTCTAGATCTCTCTCTCTGTTTGTCCTTTTTGTGTATCTTAAGAAAGTTTCAAAAACTTGGCAACTGCTCAGCCCCACCCAAAGGGACCTTCACTGAAACACCCCTTCCATGTCAGCCAATCACATAGCAGATTGCAGAAGAAACACACAACCATATTATTACTATTGTTGTCCCACAAAGGGAGGTGGTATTGTTGTCTATTATTATCATTTATTATTGTTATTTATTGTTGGTTTTTTTTTTAATTATTATTATTGTATTATAATATTATTATATATAGTCCTACACCAGGCAGTACTAGGGCAGCACAGTGGCTAGATGGTTAGCACTTCCGCCTGGCAGTACTAGGGTCGTTGGTTCACAGCACCACCTGCCTGCAGCTTGCATGTTCTCCCTGTGCCTGTGTTTGTTTCCTCCGGGTACTCCGGGTTTCCTCCCACACTCCAAAGACATGCTGGTAGGTGAATTGGCTCCTGTCTAAATTGGCCCTAGTATGTGTATGTATGAATGTGAGTTAGGGACCTTAGATTGTACACCCCTTGAGGGTTAGGGACCTTAGATTGTACGCCCCTTGAGGGGTTAGGGTCCTTAGATTGTACGCCCCTTGAGGGTTAGGGACCTTAGATTGTACACCCCTTGAGGGTTAGGGACTGATGTGAATGTACAATATATATGTAAAGCGCTGAGTAAATGGATGGCGATATATAAGTACCTGAAATAAATAAATACACTGGCAATTTGGGGCAGAATCAATTAAATTCTGGCCCGCGATTCCAAGTCACGACAAAACGTGCCAAGCATTTGGGTCCCATTTTTCTTAATGGCACCCCAAAATCGGTACAATTCTGCTGCAATTTTTGTGTGACGGAATTGTTCAGCAATCACGTTAAAACGCACATTTAAAAATCACACTAAGCTTGTCACCCATACGCGCATAAGGCAGCCTATTGACTTGTATGTGCTGCCCTATGCGTGAGACGCAGAAGTGCTTGTAAAGATTGCAAGCGGGAATGCTCATGGCTTAACCGTCACCCTCCCCCCCGCCCAACCACAAGTCTAAACGAAGCCTAAGGCTAGTGCAGGCCATAGACGGGTCGAACATCGGCCGATTTTTCGAACGATTACGGAAAAATCGGTCATTCGTTCGGCCGACGTTATCACCAACGAATAAAAAAATTGTCCGACTAAATCATAAAGTTCACCCCATAACTTCTGTCCCTTTCAGGTCACAGCTCATGCGCAGATTTTTTATTGTTAAAACGATCGATTTGGCCATCATTGCCGGGAAAATCGGCCGATCGTCCAAATCGGCCGCAAATTTCCCAACATAACCGATAATCTGAAAGTGCAAGATACACGAAAAACGGCCGACGAACTAATCCACTAACGGTACGAAAAACAGTATGAAAAACACCTATGTGTTTTGCAATGCGTTTTCAGATTTGCAGAAGTGCGCAACAGTACAAGTAACACGATTTCCTATGGGTCACGTTCACATCTATGCATTTTTAACTGGTGTGCTTTTTGGAAAGGGTCAGAGACTTTTTTGCCCACAGCGGATTGTGTCTTTGGTTCAGTGGCAATGCACACGCATGCATTTTTGGCGTGTTTCCTGAGTGACAACAGGCACCTCCCTTAGCAACATTAACACATTCCAAAACTGTGAGCTGCAAAACACATCAAAAACACATTAAAAACGCATAAAAACTAAAGTGAAAAAAAAATGCAAAATGCACTGGGAAAAAAAAATGCAACCTGCTTAGGTGTGAACCTAGCCTAAACGTGCTGCAAACGCACCACAAATACAGGACGTTTGAGGGTTTTTTATAAAGCATTACAAGCCACAAGAATCCATACAATAGAAAACCAGAAATTGTGTGTGCCGATAATTTCCTGTACTGCGGTCTTAACAGTTCCATTGTTCCTAGGTCTCTCTGAGGACTACAGAACACCTCCCAACTGTTATGTAGATGAGGAGAGGGGGAGGTGTCCTGTACAGGGGTGGACTGACAACCAGGGGCGGACTGACAACTCATGGGGCACCCGGGCAATAGAGGATTATGGGGCCCCTGTGTCCTTGCCCAAACTCAAAAAAGCCTATGAAAAAGGTACCAGGGGCATCTCATGGGGTCCCCTACTGACCCCGGGCCCTCGGGCAGTGCCTGAGTTTCCAAATGGTCAGTCCGCCCCTGCTGACAACTCATGGGGCCCCCGGGCAATAGGGGATCATGGGGCCTCTTGTGTCCTCATCCACACTCAAACCACACCCAAAAAAGCCTATGAAAGGTACCAGGGGCATCTCATGGGGCCCCTACTGACCCTGGGCCTTCGGGCAGTGCCCGACTATCCAATGGTCAGTCCGCCCCTGGTCCTGTAGCCTTCTCTTAAGGTGGGAATACACGATTAGAAAATCGACCGATCGGTCTTCCGACGACCGAGAGGCGTTCGTTCGTTGGTCGAAATCTTGGCCCACATTGACCAATCTAAAAAAAATCGTTCGTCGGGCAATACGTAGTGTTGACGTCTTCCGTACAAGTGGAAGTGATGCAATGTGCGTGTGACCTTGTAGCCACGCCCTTCCGGCCAGAACGATCGATATACACAACGATTACCAGCAATGAGTATAATATCGTTTATTACATGACCTATATACATAAATAGTGAGACATAAAATATAATCTGCACAATTCTGGTCTCATCATCTCATTAGGGCGATCTACTTTTAACATTTGGATTTTTCGTTCGTGTTTTTGAAGATTCCTAGGACATCAACATCTGGGTCATCTTCTGTTTCCGCTCATGCTTGATAGCGCTTGATAGATTTTTTTTTTTGTACAACCGTCATACCACCGCATAGAAAATCGATCGTTCGTATGCAAAACGACATTTTTTCACTGTTGTTCAACCGGATTTTTTAGTTCACAATATCGTTATCGGTTAAAACATCCTGCTCATCAATGCAGAGAAAATCGTTCGATCAGCGGCTCCGCGGAATTGTTCATACGATTTTCTTATCGTGTGTACGGGGCATTAGGCTGACAATGCTGCTCCTCTTTAGATGCATTACAGAAAGCGAGCGTTGTCACCCCAAGACAGGAAGTGGGTTACTGGCAGGATCACCCGGGGAGAATAAAAGGAAAAAAAATAAGAAATATAAGGAAAAATGAAAACTAATGCAGCACACCATAAGGACTGCTAAAACAGATTACATTTCTCTTGTTGGGTTTAAGGTGAAGGACAAGTCCTCAACTCTGAGTTTATCAATGAGACACAGGCAGCAACAAC